CCCCTCAGGCCTCCCCCACCACCACTGGCACCGACCTGAGGAAACCCGACGGGACCGAGTCCGCCGCCTGACCGCCATGCACCGGGGCCCGGCCCCTGCTCGCCCCGCCCCGCAATCCGCATAGCGACAGCGCCCACCGCCCCGCCTCAGCCTCCGGCAGCCCGCCACCCAGGTTCCGGGGCACCGCGGCACCGCCCTCCCCCCGGAACTGGGCTGGCAGGGCCGGTTTAGGGAGACAGAGCCGCTGGGCGGCCAACATGCGCCCAGCTCGGCAGCGCATGCGCCGTGCCGACATTGAAGCCGAAAGGCAGAGCCTGCCCTCAGCAGCCTTGCCCTTCCCAGCTGGCGGGCAGCGCGGGCCTTCAGCGAGTCTCTGCGCGCGGAAACTTAATAAGGAGGTTTAATAGCACTGAAGCCCAGGAGGGGGAAGGTGTCCCAGCAGCAAGGCGTTGTGCCCCGGGAGCTCCTCCCGCAGGGGTTGCGACCCGTCTCCTTCCCGGCGGCTGCTGAGGGGAGGCTGGGGCTCCGGGGTTGCGTACCCTCATCGCTGCGCTGTGGCCTGGTAGACCGAGACAGGAGGCAAAGAGACCACAGCCGTTCCTTTAACAACGAAGGAGATACGGACGGGGAACTGCCCGCCGAGGGAAGCCGAGAGGCGGGGAAGGCGGTACGGCCCTCCAGCACCACACTCCGCCGCTCCCAGTATGGCGGCCACACAGTGCCACGCTCCGCCACTCCCAGCATGGCGCCTACCGTGCCACACTCCGCCGCTCCCAACATGGCTGCCACACGGTGCCACACTCCGCCGCTCCCAACATGGCTGCCACACGGTGCCACACTCCGCCGCTCCCAGCATGGCGCCTACCGTGCCACACTCCGCCGCTCCCAACATGGCTGCCACACGGTGCCACACTCCGCCACTCCCAGCATGGCGCCGAGCCTCGAGACCGAATCTCGCGAGATTTCCCGCCTCCATTTATAGCGCTCAGGGTGGCAACCCGCCCCTTCGGTCCCGGTCAGCCGCCGCCATGAGGTGGGTGCCGGCCCGCCGCGCCATCCGCCGCCATCCGCGCCCGGCGGGAGGCTGCGGGGCCGTCCGGGCGGTTAGCGGGGGGGCTGAGGGGGAGCGCGGATGGGCCCGGGCGGGCTCAGGGGCTTTGTGTCCCCTCCTTCCCCCTCCATCCCCGCGGCCCGCAGGAGGCCCAGGCGGGGTCAGCCCTGAGCCCGCGTTGTCTTTCTCCCCCCCCGCAGCAGCAAAGTCTCCCGCGACACCCTGTACGAGGCGGTGAAGGAGGTGCTGCAGGGCAGCAAGACCAAGAAGCGCAAGTAAGAAGCCCTGCACCATGACGGGACCGGGCGTGTGACAGGCCCCGGCGCTGGACCAGGGTCTCCCCGCTGGGCCCTCACCTGCACCCCCTTTCCTCCCTCAGGTTTGTGGAGACGGTGGAGCTGCAGATCAGCCTGAAGAACTACGACCCGCAGAAAGACAAGCGGTTCTCCGGCACCGTCAGGTTCGGCATCCTCTTGCTCCCACCCAGCCTTCGGCCTGTGCCCCCCCACCGCCGCCGCCCCGGTGGTGCCACGGGAGGACGCAGCGCTGAACCGCTCGGGTAGTTCAGAGCACCCCAGCTAGGTGGGTGCGGCTGGACGGACCCCTACCCTGGGTCTTAAAACATGAGGGGAGGTGTGGGAGGCCACTGAGCTGTCCCCACCGACCTGCTTGGAGAAGGCAGGTTACAAGCTGTGGAGGAAGAGTCCCAGGTGCTGTGGTAAGGTATCTCCGTGATGGATCCCATGGAAGTGTGTGTGGTGCTGGCGGTTCACAGTAATTTGGACCTTCTGTCCCCAGGCTGAAGTCAACTCCACGGCCCAAGTTCTCGGTCTGTTTGCTGGGGGACCAGCAGCACTGCGATGAGGCCAAAGCGGTTGACATCCCTCACATGGACATAGAGGCTCTGAAGAAGCTCAACAAAAACAAGAAGCTGGTGAAGAAGCTGGGTGAGTGGTGGTGTGGATCGGGCTTCGAGTAACCTGGCTAACTTGGGAGGGCTGAGTAAGCAGGATGGTTTTCCCTGTGCTTGGATTTCCATGTCATAGTTACCTGCAGGGAATAGAAAGCTGACCAGAGTCAGCCTGAAGTACAGAAGGCTGTCTAGAAACTACCCAGAAGAGCAAACAACCTGTTAGGAGTGCAGCCCTTCAGAAGTAAGGCTGATTGCTGCCCTCCAGAAGGAAGGGGTGTAGGAAAATTGTTCCTGTCTACCTGAAGGTTTCACCCTCAGCTGGTGTTCCTCACTTCACTGGTCAGGGAGCTGGAGTGCAGCAAAAGCTGAGTAAAGTTGGAGGCAAAAGTTTGCTTTAGTCCTGCAGTACTTAAATGGATAGAATGAAATTTGCTGATTTTCACTTGGTAAGGGATAAAATCCTTCCCTTCCTGCAAAGTCATTTTGACACATGTCTTAAGCAGACAAGAAAAACTGCCCACTCAATCCATAATTAGCTATGGAACTATATGTAAGTAGGAAATGACATAGGATACCACAGCTGCTAGCTCTCTGAGATATGCAATCTGTCCATCCACACATGCACAGGCTGCAGTAGGAGGCTCCTGGTAGAGCTCAGAGTTCAGCATCTGTCACCTGTGGCTCGACAAATGCCAGTTTCTCAGGGAAATGAACTGAAATACGGTTAAGAGTATGCTGTCAGAATGTGAAGCTGGGTTCTGGTGGGTTTGGCGGTTGTGACAGGAGTAATTTCTAACATAATGTTACTAAAACCAGCTTGGGTTCAGCTAGGCAGGACTCTGAGAATGTTGAAATGCACATGTTGAGGGAAATTGAGCTGTGCAGCCTCAGCTGAGCCATTAGTTTCAAGCTCAGTGTAGGAGCTGAGAGTCCATCCTTACCTACATTGGTTCTCTCCTCACAGCCAAGAAGTACGATGCCTTTCTGGCTTCCGAGTCCTTGATCAAGCAGATTCCTCGAATCCTAGGTCCAGGTCTGAACAAAGCTGGCAAGTTCCCTTCTCTTCTCACTCACAATGAGAACCTGGTGGCCAAGGTTGATGAGGTCAAATCTACCATCAAATTTCAGATGAAGAAGGTAAAGCGGGGCTTTCCTCACCAAGGCAGCTACATACCTGAAGGTTATTTGTGATGGGTGATCACTTGTATGTGGCTGCGATTTCTAGTCTGGGCTGTAGGTGTCTCTCGAGCATCTTCCTAAAACAGCAGCCAGTGACATTCTCCTCTGCAGCAAAGGAGCATTCAGCAGCTAGCTGCAAAGGAGGAGTAATTTATCTGTGGCTGAAAGATCTTTGAGCACATAATCAGGAGATGAATTTGGTGTTTCAGTGCTGAGCACAATCAGTCATAATTAATGCTTCTTACAGTAAGTGGGTGACACTTGCAGGGTGGGGCCAGGCATGCCCCCGTGGGTCTGTGCACGCAGCAGTGCTTTGCCAGAGGCGAGTTTGGGACCCGACTCTGCAAGTGAACTTTGGAGCAGCTTTGCGGATATTTGCTCTTGCTGTCAAAAGAGATGTCAAGGCGTGCTGACTCCCTAAAACCAAAATAACCCTGTTCAGGCATTTTAATCTTGTGTCAGCGGTCTAAATGTGACTCATGGGTATTACTCGGAATTAACAGCTCTGCTCGCTGAGGTGCATCCTTGGACTCCAGCTGATCTGGGCCTAGGGGCACAACAACTGGGAGAACACAGCAAATGTGATAGTTTGCAAATGCTGGAGCATTTTAAGTAACTGAGCTAACGATGTCTTGACACTTGGCCTGTCAGCTCACTCGTAAATTCTTTTGTCTTCAGCCTGTGGGGAACATTGACTTACAAGCTTCTCTGCAAGGCTGGCAGGCAGAGGCTTGGCCTCTGTGTGCGTTATGTGCAGAAAGAAAGGGCTGGTGCCCAAAACAAAAAGTGAAGCTGGCGCCATGCTTAGCAGTGAAGTTTGGAGCTAATAGTCTGTACTGCGCCGGGTTAGCGGTTTGCAGGGCACATGCCAACGCTGCCTAATGAGCAGGGTGTGGGAGCGGAGTTAAACCAGAGGTCTGCTCCTGCTCCAGCACCAGTTCAGCACAGCTCGTGACACGTCCTTCCCGTTTCCCCATCTCGGGGAGGCAGCAGTGCTCCCTGCGTTCTGTTAAGTCACCTTTGCACTCTGAGGAAGCCAGACCTACCCAAGCTGTTGTTCGGACAGAGATGATGTCCAGATGCTGCCAGACATGTTCATGGGAGCCGCATGCCAAATATAATGAGCTCTGTGGAAACACCCATGGATAAGCTGGAGAAGTCATGTCCAGCTGATAGAACATCAGATAATTTGATAGCCTGATGAGTTTAGATCAGCACTGTGCTGTTTTGTCAGTTGCTTAGCTCTAATCTTTGATTTCCCTGCAAAGCCTCTACCTGCATGAGTAACCTTCGTGTCCGTGTCCCCCAGGTGCTCTGTCTGGCTGTGGCTGTCGGTCACGTGAAGATGACAGAGGATGAACTTGTCTACAACATCCACCTGGCCATCAACTTTCTGGTGTCCTTGCTGAAGAAGAACTGGCAGAATGTGCGTGCTTTGTATATCAAGAGCACCATGGGGAAGCCCCAGCGCCTGTACTAATTGGGCAGCAATAAACTTTTAGGAAACCTACAGCTGTGTGCGTGGTTGTGTTCCTCCAAAACTTGTTGGGAAGGGTTTGCTAAAGAGCAGCTTGCT